ATATGATGTACTACGGAGAGGGATTGTGGACAATGGCGAAGTCGACCCGTTCAAGGGCTTCGTGGCACTCAATGTTCACGCGCGCTCGGGCAACATCGTGCTGATCGCGGCCTACCTCGTTCTGGGCGAAGGTTTCACAGGGTCGAATTACCGCGGAATTCGATCCCTGGCAGGAATCTTCAAATCGCAAACGGACCCTTGGGTGGCCCTCGCGGACTGGGACATACCTGCGGACCGCATGGAGACGGCTGAGTTGCCAGGCAGGCTCGGAGGAGCGGTGATCAGACCAGACGTCGAGATCCCCTGCGACAAGGGCAGAGGCAGCCTCAGAGACTATGGCATCGCGAGGGTGGACTTCGCGACCAGTCTGAAGCTAGTGGCCGAAGGGCGGGTACCACGGCGAACCCGCTGCGGCCTGAGCCTGGGGGTCAAAGGCACCAAGCAGGAATGGTGGCATGGACAGCTCGCGATCCCGGAACTCCCCCATGCCGCGCCAGACCACGGAAGGCGGCGGACCCGAACTCCAAGACGAGCAAGAAAAAGAAGGATGCTCGCCAGAGTGTGGGGGGCGCGATGGAGCAGCAACTACAGGAGGCGCACGAAAAGGCCGCCATGGCGCCCGAGGAGGAGATGCAGACCCAGGAGGAGAGGGGCGACACTATGGCCTACATTATTGAGGACGACATATGGGATGAGGCAGGCATGAAGGATCACAAGATGGAGCTCACGGAGATGCTCGCCATAGGCGACATGATGATCACCGGGAGCGAGTGGCACAAGAGGCGCGAGCACCTGCTCACGGAGAGGCACGGCGACTGGGTCGCCATGGTGGGGGATACCATCCTGGAGGCCGAGAACATGAACGAGCGGGGGGCGGCCCCATTTAAAGGCAGGGCGGCAAGTTTGATATGGACCAGCAGAAGAATGGAGTATTCTGGCGGCTGAGATGATTAGATGCCAGTTGCTGGTGCTGAATGGCACAGACGACCAGCAACAGAGGAAGTGCATCCACAGGGTTATGAAGCAATTGGATGTGATCAACAACATGCCCCACACGGAGGCGTTCAACAAGTATGTGACCGCCAACAACATTGACATGTACTTCGAGATGGCGGGTGACATCGCAGAGTTGAGATGGGTCAGCAAAGCCACCTGGTTGAGCAGACAGAGAGGCACCTAGCCACGGCATCATCCAAATCGATGGCGTCGGCTAGGAAGAGCTTTGCGACTTGGGCGAAGAAGGCGTGACAGAGCAAGGCGGGCATGCTGCGCAGACGCGTCAAGCCCAAAGAAGGCGCCCAAGCTCGAGATGGCCACTGGACCAGGCTTTGCCGCGGCCGACCCGACGTTCATCATGAACGCGAAAGCTAAGAAGTGGGAGAACATATGGGCGGACCCTATGGACGAGAGGAAGCATATCATCCAGCAGTAAGAGACCACCAGGATAAAGGCGGTGGATGAGGATCTGGAACCGATTGACGTGAAGACGCTGAACAGGGTGCTTCGGGCTACCTCGGCGTCGAAGGCGAAGGGGCTGGACCAGCTTGGCCCCGCCGACATTGACAGGCCCCCCTTGCGCGGCAAGCAAGAGCTGGAAGACATCATGGAGGAGAGCGGGGGGCAATTTGCATGGCCCAGACAGATTTCGGTTACAAAATGCGCGGTGGTGCCCAAGCCAGGACCTGCTGGAGGAGATAGGGTTCTTGGCATGCTCCCATTACCAGTAAAGCTATGGCCCAGAGCGCGCGGAGTGTGCGAGATGTGGAATGCTGGGCTCCCTGACCACCGGGACACGGCTATCAAAGGAAGCTCGGCGCTCTAAGCAGGATTATTACGGCCCATATTTGATGAACCTAGTGTTGAGATAGGAGCATCAGCGGTGACATTACTGCCGGGCATTGAGAAATTATTGACACGGTCCCGCTGGTCATCCTGATGGAGATAGCACGTGCTGCGGGATCCCCAGCGGCGGCGGTTGGATTAGAGGTAGGTGGCCACGTTCCTCGGGCCGAGATATTTACAGGAAAGGTCGGTCATCGGTGAAGCTATATGGCTCGCGCGACCAGTGGTGGCGGGATCGGCTAGGGGAGTGACCCTGGCGAAATTGTTCCTTCGCCGAGCTCTGGAAGCCGCCCGCAGACGCCGAGTGCGAGCCTGTGGACGTTCGTGAAAGATGTGGTGGTGAGATGCGAAGGCAGTAAGGAAGTGGTGAGCGACCAGCCGGTGAAGGTTACCTCAGTACGATGCGCCAGACTGGAACAGCAGAGAATCACCATCTCGGACAAGACTACGATGATTGGATCGGACCTGAGGGCAGTGGCCAGACGACTACGACGGCAAGGTATACCAGCTGAAGCCAGCGGGGTGGCCGTGGACTCGGGGCAAGACGCGTCGGGCGGACGCAAAAGAGTTACCACGAAGAGCAAGCAGAGGCAAGCCCGAGCGCGGCGAAGGTATGCAAAGATACTCAATGTTCTGAGAATCGCAGCGCCCAAGAAGGAGGCCAAGGGACTCTACGACGCAGGCGCCCTTCAGCAGGCGATATATGGGCAGCGGGCGTTCGGCGTGTCGAAGCGTGAGATCACCTTGCTCAGGCGCCAAGCGGAGAAGGTGTCGGCCGGCGCGGCCGGTGGCAGATGCCTCGCCGCTACTTTGGGCGTGGAGCTGGGGCTGAGAGACCCCGCGATTGATCCACGGCTTGGGGTACTTCGCGAGTGGATAGGCACGTGGCGCAGATTCGCGCACATCCACAAGAGGGTCGAAAGAGCGTGGCCAAGTATCACAACCAAATTACGTCGGATGGGACAAGCTAGGTGGCGTGCGGCGCGAGGCCCCGCGGGAGCCCTGATAGCGACGCTTATGGATGCAGGATGGGTACCTGCCACGGCTACCAGGTGGCATCGATCTGGGCCAGATGAGGCATTGCGGGAGCTGCCATCGAGCGAGGGCGGAAGCTTCATCGAGACGGGATGCTTCCGGGAGCTACTGGGCGACTTCGAGGCAGACTTGAGGTGCGACCTGCGGGCGACGGCGACCAGGCACGAGTGCGGCGACGCCCTGGAGGAGGGCGGCGACATATGGTCCACCGTCAGGGAGCAGAGGAGGTTCGAGCGCAACGGGATGCTCGACCAGCTGGCGCTTAGCGCGACCGTCGTCGCAGATGGACAATGGCCGCGGGTCCGCTGCAGGGAAGAAGGATATGATCTGCCAGAGGCCTGTCCGAGATGCAATGCTGAGCCTGAGTCGCTGAAACGCAGGATCTGGGGTTGTTCTAGGAACGTTGAGCATGCAGATAACGGCAAAACTGTGATTGTTCGATAGCTGCTGTACGTGCGCAAGCAAATGCAGAGCCAGCTTTCTGGCTCCGCGCCCCCCCGCCCCCCTCCTCCCACGCACCGCCACCCGCGCGCGCTCGCTCGCCTCGCGCGCCCCCTCTTCCTGGATGGGTGGCTGGAGGGGCGGGGGCTGAGGCTGGGTGGGAGGGGGGGGCTTCGAGGCTTCTCGAGGCAGGGGCGGGATTTTAAAAGTGTATGGCGACGGCTCGGGGGTCGATTTCCTGAGGGCCCCCAGACGCAGGCGCTGCGGTTCGTCGATCTGTTCCCAAGGCGAGTGGAAGGTGCAGGCGGCTGTTTCTACACCCCTCTTGGGAGCCCGCCAGACCGTCCCACGTTCGGAGATGCAGGCCATTTGCACGGCCCTCGAAGAGATTCCAGAATCGTTGTTTTCATTACTGACCACTTGTCGGTTGCCAGGATGTGGCATCGTAAGATGGAGCTTCCCAACCCCACTGCTGCCAATGAAGATTTGTGGACTAGGGCCCGTGCTGCTTGGAGAAGTAGGCCAGACACCGCCACTGTCGAAGTGCAGTGGGCACCCTCTCGTACAGACGAATATCCTGAGCTGCTGGTGTCAGGCTGTCAAATGGACATGGCCGCGGGGAATGCGGCTGCGGATATTTGGGCTCGGGAGGGGACAGAGTTGGCGTGGGGCGTCGGGCTGGTTGGGGAGACCCCTCAGACGGATCGAATCGATGCCATTGCCAGCCTGGTGCGGCGACGCGCCAGACGAGCACTAGCTGACTCGGCCAGTGCAGAATCCCACGTCGGAGGCGAGAGAGAGCAGCCGCGACCAAGCGGCCGCCTTGCAGCATGTATTCCAGAGCTGTCAGGGAGTCGGCCCACCAGCTTGAGAAGTCTAGCTCGGGCCGAGGTGCGCAGACGGCGATCAGGTGGTGCCAAGCTCGAAGTTGTTCCGCTTCGCGGCCACACCATGCGCAGGAAAGGCCATCCCAGAGGGAACCAGGCCGCCTGAAGTGCAGCAGGCTCCCCAGTCTTTTGTGGCGGGAGCGCTCGAGTTTCATGAGTCCCACGCGATGGTCTATGCTGACACATGGTTCATGTATGCCTGCAGCAATTGTGGCCGCTTCGCGACAGTAGACGACAGACACGTCAAGGTTCGTTGTGGAGGTGTGACCCCCAAAAGGGCTGAGAACCTCAGTCGAATTCGGAAGGAGTTTTTATCCTAGGAGGGAGGGGCCGCCGCAGGCAGTCGTGGAGGCCATGGCGGCGCGTGAACGTGCGAGATGCGCGTCGTCGAATGGCCCACCTGCGGGGTTGCCGAGTGCCCCCCCTCCCCTCCCCTGCCGCCTCCCCAGCTGGCTCGAGCCCGTGGCAACGCCCAGGGAGGCGAGCCCGAGCAGCAGCAGGCGCGACGAGAGCGTCTGCATGGAGCTCGGACCCCCCGAGCTCACACGCCAGCTGCTGGAAGGGAGGAGGTGGCGGGGAGAGCAGTTTTGTCTCCTGGAGACTCCGACTAAAGCTCAGTCGGGTCATGGCTCCCAGGGGGCGGTAGTGGTACATGCGCCGCCCTGGGGAGTCAGCTGGACATTTGCCCCTTTCATAGCATTCCATAGCATTCCTCCTCCTCCTCCTGCTCCTCCTCCTCCTGCTCCTCCTCCTCCTTCGCCTCCTCCCTTCCCGAGGGCAGCCTGAGCCCCGGGCCGCCGGGGCCGAGGGCGAGGCCCTGGCGGAGGAGGACGCCGCGCCTGCCCGGCGAACGCGCTGCGTCCATCCCCCTCTGGGCGCAGCTGTTGCCACCCCCGCTGCCTGTAAGACGAAGCCAGGACGAGGATAGAATCGGGCAAGGAGAAATCGAGAGTTTCGGAGATCCAGCGGATCTGCAGGATGTCTCGGGCGCCGCGGCCTCCTCAGAGCGTTCCGGAACGCTCTGAGAGCGTTCTAGAACGCTCTGGAACGCATGTAGCCTCGTCCTAGCACCGTCCGGGCCCCCCGGCTGGGCATCAAACGAAGCAAAAAACGCGAAACACGAAACGCGCCCGCACGTGGACACCGTCTGGGGTGCTGCGGGTGCGGCGCCGGCGCGCTAGACAAAGAGACCCGAGCGGGAATCCGGGTCGATCTTGTTCCAAAGCTCCGCTGTGGCAGCGTGAAAATGCATCCGCGATGCTCACGAATCCATTTCCCGTATGGTTTTTTCAGGGTGGCGCCGAACGTATTCGATCCGTCGGGTTTTGGGATGTCCTGGACTCTGCTGGAACAACAGGAGACGTCCGTGGTCGCAACTTGCGCAAGCACGAACAGATGACAGAAACAAGCCCAGCAACTCTCCTGCTCCTGCTCGCCCTCCTCCCTGCCCTCCGCCTGCCCTGTCCGCCGACGTCCTTTTGCTCACCCCTTCTGCCTCGACCTCCTCCTCCTCGTCCTCCTCCTCCTCCCTCCCCCTCCTCCCTCCCAGCCTTTCCTGTCCGCAAAGACGTTGCTCGTGGCCTGACAGCCAGACGTGTCCGCGGGGCGGGTAGGGCGATTCACCAAATACTTATCACAGACCCGGGCATTTCCAACAGTTGTAGTTGCACGGAAGGAGGAATTATGATGTCCAACATATTGCTCTCGCCTCAGCGACGCGCACATTCGCCTTGAACATTTCCAACATGGAGCGGTGTTGTTATCAAGAAGCGGTTCTCGCCTGCGCGCATCGCACTTTCGTCTGGATCATTCAAAGCTTACACGGATGGATGGGGGCCGTTTTCGAAGTGTAGCCTTCGTACTAGCGCCACGCGCTTTCGTTCTATACGCTTCCAGCATTTCCACGGATAGCGGGGCCCGTTTTCAAAATGTGGCTCTCGCTTTAGCGCCGCGCACAGCCGTCTGAAACGCTTGCAATACTTATACGGCTGGAGGGCGACTCCTTTTGAACAGAACGCGTTCGCTTGAGACCTCGGTTTTCCCTATGGACGGATACCCAACAATTGTGCAACGGCTACAGGGGTGGAAAGCAGCTCCAACCCGATCCAAAGATTTGGTTCGGGTTCGGACATCACGCAGAGAACTGCCCCCGCATCCCCGTGCCGATTCTCCTGTGGACTTCCTTGGGCTTCCCGTGGTCCTCCTCCTCCTCCTCCTCCTCCTCCTCCTCCCTTCCTCTTCCGCCCTCCCCCTGCTGCTGTGCTCAGCCCTCCATACATGCAGCTGTGGTGTCCACGCATGCTTCGAATGTGCGTGCGCAAGGAAGGAAGAGGCGAGTGAGGAGGATGGATGACAAACACTAAACCTACCCAGCCGCATGGTTGTGCTCCACCTCCTCCTCCTCCTCCTCCTCCTCCTCCTCCCAAGAGGAGGAAGTTCAACCAAGCCGTCAAAACGAAATGTTTGGTTGTTCCTCTTCCTCCTCTTCCGCCTCCTCCCCCCCCTCTTTCTAGTCTCCCTCTTTCGTCAATGTCGACCACTGCTGCGGAGGTCCGAGCTCTTTCTGGGACATGGGACGCGCTCCAGCAGCCTGGTGGAATGGGGCTCATCTCTCTCTCTCTCTCTCGCTGCATATGTGTTGTATTCCAGGCGGCCCCGCCGCCGCCTGGCCCCGCTCTGAGCGGGCCCGGCTTCCGTCTCCTTCCCGCCCGCGCCGGGCTCCCCCCCTCTTCCCCCGTGCACCAGGGCTTAATTCGCGCTTTGTGTCCCACTAACGCTTCATCGCCAGCGCAGTCACTCTGCCTAGCCGTCGACGCAACAAGTGTGTGTGTGTGATTGTGTATGTATTATCCCCTCCTCAGGCGCCCCCTTCGTGTCCATCCCGTGTGGATGCGAAAGAGATCAGTACGATGGAACCTGCTCAATCACCCCACGTCATCAGGCAACCCGCGGGAGCGTACTATTCGACCTTGCCGCAACCCCTTCACCTCTCACATTCCCCCTTCCCCTCCCGATTCTCCTCTCCGATACTCCCACTTCTCAGTTTCTCCATCTTGACTGCCCATCCCCCTCTCCCTCTTTCCCTCCTACCTCTTCCCCTCCCCCATTCCGTTCCTCTTCCCTCCTTTTCCTCCCTTTCCCTTCCTGCTTCCTCTCACCACCTCCCTCGTTCCCCTCCCCCCTTTGCTCACGTCTGCCTCCCCCCCTCTCCTCGAATGCACCCGTCGAGGGAAGCGACGGCTTCAATTACGCTACAGAGGAACCCCACATACTTATTTTTTGCTATGCGTGTTCACATACAATATCGTGCTTCGCCGTCCTCCACACAACCTCGCGCTAGCTGCACCCCCAACCATCATCAGTCATATACGCAATCCACGCCAGACGAACCAAACTGACCAGCCAGACTGACCAGACAAGCAACATCAGCCAGACCAGCCAGATCAGCAATCTCAGCAATCCCAGCCAAACCCAGCCAGGCCAATCAACCAAATAAGTGAGAACAAACATATTAGTCACACCAACAATCGCAGCCAGAATAAGCCAGACGACCTACACGAACCAGCCAGGCCAACCAACCACGCCATCCAGACCAACCAGCTCAGACCAACCATACCATATCAAACCAAACCAGACCTGGCCTGACCTGACCACACCGACCACACCACCCAACCGCTGCACGGCCAGCACCATAACGGCCTCTCCAACAACGGCCCTCGGTGGTGTCGAGAATATGCCGCGCCTGCCATGCCCTGCGCCATGGCCCGCATAGACGCCGCGCTCGGAGACCATTCCCTGCGCACCCCCGGTGGTGTCGAGAATATGCCGTGCCTGCCACGCCCTGCGCCATGGCCCGCATAGACGCCGCGCTCGGAGACCACCCCCTGCGCACCCCCTACGAGGTCGAGAAAGTGCCACACCTGCCACGCCCTGCGCCATGGCCCGCATAGACGCCGCGCTCGGAGACCACCCCCTGCGCACCCCCTACGGGGTGAGGAAAGTGCCACACCTGCCACGCCCTGCGCCATGGCCCGCATAGACGCCGCGCTCGGAGACCACCCCCTGCGCACCCCCTACGAGGTCGAGAAAGTGCCACACCTGCCACGCCCTGCGCCATGGCCCGCATAGACGCCGCGCTCGGAGACCACCCCCTGCGCACCCCCTACGAGGTCGAGAAAGTGCCACACCTGCCACGCCCTGCGCCATGGCCCGCATAGACGCCGCGCTCGGAGACCACCCCCTGCGCACCCCCTACGAGGGTCGAGAAAGTGCCACACCTGCCACGCCCTGCGCCATGGCCCGCATAGACGCCGCGCTCGGAGACCACCCCCTGCGCACCCCCTACGGGGTGAGGAAAGTGCCACACCTGCCACGCCCTGCGCCATGGCCCGCATAGACGCCGCGCTCGGAGACCACCCCCTGCGCACCCCCTACGGGGTGAGGAAAGTGCCACACCTGCCACGCCCTGCGCCATGGCCCGCATAGACGCCGCGCTCGGAGACCACCCCCTGCGCACCCCCTACGAGATCGAGAAAGTGCCACACCTGCCACGCCCTGCGCCACGGCCCGCATAGACGCCGCGCTCGGAGACCCCACCTCAGCCCCCCATCCGCGCTGCGAGCGCGCGTCGCGGCCCTCGCTGAGCTGTATGCTGTGCTGAGCTGTGCTGTGCTGCGTTGATTGTGTGTGTGTGTGTGTGCTCTGTGTGTTGTAATGTGTGCGTGTGTGCGTTGTGTGTATGTGTGTGCTTGTGTTGTGCTGTGCTGCGCTGCGCTGTGCTGCGCTGTGCTGTGATGTGCAGCTATGTTGTGCTGTGCTGCGCTGCGCTGTGCTGTGCTGCGCTGTGATGTGCAACTGTGTGCTGTGCTGTGCTGTGTGCTGTGCTGTGCTGGGAGAGGTGAGTGAGTGAGTGAGCGTCGCTGGTGGGACGCGGCAGGGAAACAAACCAGAACCCCACGAAACATGTGGGGAACAAATAACCTCATGAAGCATGTGTGTGTATGTGTGTATGTGTGTATGTGTGTGTTTTGATGTGCTGTGCTGTGCTGTGCTGTGCTGTGCTGTGCTGTGGGTGAAGAGGGGAGGAGGAGGGGGGGGAGGAGGAGGCGTGAGACGCGGGTGCGGCGCGACAGTGAAGAAAACCAGAACCCCACTGAACGTGTGGGGAACTAGGAGGAGCAACACCATACACATACGTACACCGATTCTGGCCAGGCCGTGGGTCCAAGGGTCGGCGCAGCCGCGTCCCCCGATCACTGCCCGATCGCAGGGGTGATCAAAACCCTTTTCTGCGTGGCTCGAGGAAGGAGTCGAATGCAGACCCGTATGTTTGGAATACAGAAAGAGGAGGGAGGAGGAGGAGGAGGCGAACGAGAGGCCATGAGGAGGAACAAGATGAATGAGGAGGATTAGACCAGAGCAGAGCAGAGCAGAGCAGAACCTCATGGAGTCACTGTCCAGGCTGACTTGCAGTGCAATTGAAGCGCCTGGACTGTATTCTGAGTGCGTACGCCTGAAGCCGAACGCGTGCGCAACCATGCAGGTACCCGAACGGCTCACGCCTTGTACTGCACTGGCCGATCGGCACTCTGGCAAGCACGCAACTCGCTGAAGGCCGTTACTCGGACACCACGCCCCGCATCCCCATCCATCCGTCCACCCCCACCCGATCCCCGCCGAACAACCCGCCGCGGGAGGAGGCGGCGGTGGAGGAGTAGAAACGCGGAGGAGGACGAGCAGGAGGAATGATGATGAGGATTGAGGAGGGATGATGATGCTGACGCTAAAGCTGATGCTGGGCAAGATGCGTATAACTATGAATATGATGATGATGCTGATGATGATGATGATGATGATGATGGTGGTGGTGATGATGATGATGATGATGATGATGATGATGATGATGATGATGATGATGATGATGATGATGATGATGATGATGATGATGATGATGATAGTGATGACGATGCTTCTGCTGATGATATCTACGACGGCGGCGACGACGACGAGGAAGCGTGAGGAGGAAGAGGAATGAAGAGTGAGGAGAAGGAGCCATGTGGTGGAGAGGGGAAGAGCGAGGAGGCACGACCCCCCGATTGGGGGGCGGAAAGATACGGATACGTGTTGTCCCCGGACCTCTCTTGGGGTGCGTTCTGACCAGAATTTCGAGGCGAATCCAGCGGTGACAACGAGGACTCCCCAGGAGGACCAGGAGAGGCCGAAAACGAAGGGGGACAACACGTATCCGTATCTTTTTCTCCCCCGACCCGACCCCCCGCCGAACAGGCCGCCCTGGAACTCGGCCAGCTTGCTCAGCGTCAGGGGCGACACGCCGGCCACGTGCCCCCCGCTGGGGCGGTCCTGCGGCGGCCCGCCGCCGCTGCCCGCCGCTGCGGGTCGCCGATCGTCGATCGTCGATCGTCGGTCGCCGTAGGAGGAGCGAGGAGCGAGGAGGAGGAGGAGGAGGAGAGGAGAAGGAGGAGGAGGAGAAGGAGGAGGAGGAGAAGGAGGAGGAGGAGGAGGAGGAGGAGAAGGAGGAGGAGGAGGAGGAGGAAAGGACGAGGAGGAGCGAGGAGGAGCGAATAGGAGCGAGGAGGAGCGAGGAGAGGAGGAGGAGGAGGAGGAGGAGGAGGAGGAGGAGGAGGAGGAGGAGCGAGGAGAAGGAGGAGGGAGCAGGAGGAGCAGTAGTAGGAGGGGGAGGGGGAGACAAGATAAGACAGCGCCTTGAGAAAGGTCGGACGGTGATCACAACGAGGAAAGGCAAGGTTACTAAAGTTATGCCATCTGGGAATTGGCTTCGTTGGCCTTCACTCTCTCGAGTAGGGCTGCCAGTCTCTGCTCATACTGTGGGGCGGTTTCGCTCGAGGAGAAACCTCTGGAGGAGGAGAAGGAGGAGGATGATGAGGAGCGAGGAGGAGCGAGGAGGCGCGAGGAGGAGGAAAAGGAGGAGGAGGGGAAGGACGAGGAGGAGCGAGGAGGAGCGAATAGGAGCGAGGAGAAGCGAGTAGGAGGAGGAGGAGGAGGAGGAGGAGGAGGAGGAGGAGGAGGAGGAGGAGGAGGAGGAGGAGGAGGAGGAGGAGGAGCGAGGAGGAGAAAGAGGGAGCAGGAGGAGTAGGAGGAGGACAATATAAGATAAGATAAGACAGCGCCTTGAGAAAGGTCGGACGGTGATCACAACGAGGAATGGCAAGGTTACTAAAGTTATGCCATCTGAAAATTGGCTTCTTTGGCCTTCACTCTCTCGAGTAGGGCTGCCATTGTCTGCTCATACTGTGGGGCGGTTTCACTCGAGGAGAAATCTCTGGAGGAGGAGGAGGAGGAGGAGGAGGAGGACGATGAGGAGCGAGGAGGAGCGAGGAGGTGCGAGAAGGAGGAAAAGGAGGAGGACGAGGAGGAGGAGGATGCAGCAGGAGCCAGAACGAGGAGAAGGGTGCAAGAGTGGCCGGGAGGACGAGGGAAAAGGAAGAACCACGATGACGATGAAGAGGACGAGGACGAGGTGAAGAAACTCTGCCGCGCGTCCCAAAGCCGCTGCCAATGACTTCCTCTACGCTTTCCCACCCCCCGTCTATTCCCTCTATCCCGCGTCCTCCCGTCGTCAGCCCCGCTCCGGCCCTCCCTCAACTCCGCTCCCTCCGCATCGCTCCCTCTGCACTTCACTCTCCCCGGCTCAACATCCGCTCCCCGCCCACTCCCTCCCTCCCCGTCGCCCTTCCCACCGGCCCCATTGCCCCTCGCCTCATTCCCTCCCATTGCCTGTCAACTCTCTCCCCCTCGCTTCCTCACCTATCACCGCCTTCCCACGCATCCGTCTCACCACCTCAAGACCTCACTTCTGCCCCACACCTCTACCTCACCGCTTGCACTCCCACCCTCCTCCTACCCCTCTCCCCCTTCCCCCCCGCCTGTATGACTCTTTCTACCTCTTCTCCCTCTCCCTGTCTCTCTCTCACTCTCTCTCTCTCTCCCTCTCCTCCCTCGCCCTCCGTGTCTTTCTCCCTCTCTCTCTCGCTCTCCCTCCGCACCGCTTGCTCCCCCCCTCCCCATCGACCCCTTCCCCGTTCAGGAGCCAGTACACGAGGCAAGAGTTGGAGAAGGAGGAGGAGGAGGAGGAGGAGGAGGAGGAGAAGAAGAAGGGTAGGGGAGTGGGGATGAGTCGGGGAGGAGAGAGGAGGATGAGGAGGAGGAAAAGGAGGAGGAGGACCAATGTAAACCCGAAACTCATCAACGATGTTGAAATACACCCTCCCTCCGATACTCCTTTTCACAAGCCCCTACGAGAGGTCATTTCCACTCAAAGAATTGCCCCATTGGAGGACAACCGTGTGAACATCTTGAAGCGCGCCAGAACACCATTCTCAGAACTTCAACGCCACAAATTAGCCTGACTGGTACGTCTTGGCGATCCAGAATCGTGCAAAGACACCGTTCCTGGGACTTCAACACCGCGAATCAACATAAGTGTAGAGCCCTGACAAACGAATGTGAGTGGCGCTATGGCAAGAGTCACGTTTTTGAAAGGAACCACCCTCGATATGTGAAGCTCTTGCTGTTTACAACGAACGTTCGCGGCACTGAGGCGAGAACCAAATTTTGAAAACCAAGCGCCCTCAATCCGTGAAGCTCTTGCAATTGTTTACGACGAATGTGCGAGGCGCGTCGGCGAGAACCACATGTTGAAGAACAGCTGCCCTCAATCCGCGAAACTCCTGCAACTGTCTAAACATGTGCGCGGCGCTGAGGCGAGAACCACATTTGGAAAACCAATCGCCCTCACTCCGTGAAGCTCTTAAAACCATTCAGACGAATGTGCACGGCACTAAAGCGATCACCACATGTTGGAAACCACCCGCAATTGTTTAAAACGGATGTGTGCGGCGCTAAGGCGACAACCACATGTTGAACACGACCCGCTCTTTCAAACATTAAAAGCAAATGTGCGATGTGCCAAAGCGAGAACCACATGTTGAAAACACCCGCCCTGAATCCGTGGAACCCTTGCATTTGTCAAACGAATGTGCGCGGCGCAAAAGCGAAAACCACATGTTGAAAACCACCCGCCCTCCATCTTGGAAACCGTTGTCAACATTCAAGTATCAAGGTCATAAGTGGTGAGGAAGTCTAAAGCGAAACGCCCGGCCCGCCCTTTGGACAGGCCTCGGCGCGCGACAGGGAAGAGATCTTTACAGGGGAAAGGAATGAGGAGGACGAGGAGGAGGAGGAGGAGGAGGAGGAGGGAGGAGTGGGGAGGAGTAGGGGAGGAGAACGGATGACGAGGAGGAGGAGGATGATGAGGAGGTGGAGGAGGAGGAGGAGGAGGAGGAAGACTCATGACTGAAACTGCAACAGCTGGCACGTCCGACGCGAACGGCCTGCGCTCCGCGCAGGCTTGCAGGAAACCCTTCCTGGCCCCTCGGGTCCAGCCGCGCGACGAGAGCCGCGCCAAGGGTCCCACGTCTCGACCCCTCAGCCAATCCAGGCCGTGTGAAGGAGGAGGAGGAGGAGGAGGAGGAGGAGGAGGAGGAGGAGAGGAGGAGAAGGAAGAGGAGGAGGAGGAGGAAGATGAGGAGGAGGGACGAGGAGGAGGAAGAGGAGGAGGAGGAGGAGGAGGAGGAGGATAAGGAGGAGGAGAGCGAGGGGAGTGTGGAGGAGTAGGGGAGGAGAGAGGAGGGAGGAGGAGGAGGAGGAGCAGGAGGAGCAGGAGGAGCAAGAACCAGGAGGCATGAGCAGCCAGGATGCAGGGTCGGCTGGAGCCAGAATACATATGATTCACTTTCATAGGTCCCTACAAGATCGTATTTTCATTGCCGGAAGTGGTCCTTCAAACGACAACTGTCTGACATTCCTCAGTGCTGTCGGAACGCAGTTCCTGGGACTCCAGCGCCGCAGCTCAACGTGACGTGAATCAGATGGAGGAGGAGTACGAGGAGGAGGAGGAGGACAAGGATGACGAGGATGCGGGGGCCCCCTTCGCAGAGGACCGACCCGAACCTCCCGGTGCCCCCCCGCGGCCCGTCGCCCCGCTGCCGCCGCCAACATGTCGCCGCCGCCTCCGCCCTTTTGCCCTCGCCGCCCGCCGACCGGCCGGCTCGCTGGCCAGCCGGGCGGCCAGTCGACCTGGGGGATCAGTGCGTCGTCCACCGGTCGCCGCCGGCCGCGCCGCCGCCACCCCCAGGCTCGGGGGGAGCACACAGGTGGGGCAGGGGCAAAGGTGGGGTTGGAAGGAGCATCCGGCTGGGCTCGTTCCCCAGCCCCGCCCTGGGAGACCCTTCCCTCTACAGACCCCCGACGTAATGATTTTTTCATTACGTCGACCCCCACAGGTCCCGACCCTTTCCCCATGACCGGCTTTGCATCCTGAGTCGTTTTTTGACGCTCCCGAGGCCCGGCGAGGGCCCCCGGAGGCCGAAAATTAGGAAAAACCTCCCGTCATGATTTTTTCATTACTCGAGGGGGTCTGGGTCTACAGACCCCCGACAGGCAAACGGTCCTGCGGAGAGGATCCCGGCGAGCCGAGGCGCCCCGGCGTGGTCGCGGAGCGCTGCGGCGTCCTCTCCAGCGCGGACCTCCGGGCCGCGGGGGGCCCGCCTCGCCGGCGGGGCAGCGCCCTGGGCAGGCATGTAGCTTCGGGTGCCCCAGGGGAAGCGCCCTGTCGGGTCGGGCGAAGCGCAAGGGGGGGATAGCAAAGGGGGGGTTTGAGAATCAGCTCACGTAGCTGATTTTTCCAGCGCCTCCCGGCGCCCGGAGCGGCCATGTATCGAGGAATTGGCCCTTCGGTGAGGCCGAAACCAGCTGCATGCAGCAAATTTCGTAACCCCCCCTTTCCCAATCCCCCCCCCGACCCTGGCAGGCAGATTCAGGCTGCCCAGGGGAAGCGTCCTCGTGGTGGGTTCCTGCGGCGTCGGCGCGCGCAAGGGCGTTCGACGCCGCGTCGATCGGTCAACCTTGAACCGATCGCGGCCCCCGATCGCGGCCCCGATCGTTCAAGGTTGAGTTTTGTCGGCTTTTCATCGTGCCCCTCAGTGCTTCCGCGTCGTTCTATCATGCGGAATTCAACCTTGAACGCCCTCGTTAATCTTGTCGATGTGTCATCGCCGCAGGCCTACCGTAGATGCCTCCTAGATGGGTTCCGAGTAAATGGAGTCGGAGGATGGCGCTTCGCCAACGCATCGGCGAAGCATCGGCGATGCATCGGCGATGCATCGGCGACGTCGGCGATGTATCGGCGACACCAGCGCGGAACAAATCAGGCTCCACATTGAGCCGAATCGGCGATTCACCGCCGATGCGGCGCGATTCTCCGACCCCATCTACTCGAACCCAATCTTGGAAGTCTAGATTCTGGTGCCTAAGTAGGGAGCGCCCTGGCAAATACCTTCGGGCTGCCCACGGGAAGCGTTCCGGCACGTGCCTTCGGACGCCCCGATTTTCTCCTACAATCGCGAAGAATGCCCCGTGGTGAGACGAGGAGGACGCAGAGGCGGGGAAGCTGTGTGGAGGGAGGCGAGTAGAGCAAGGCCAGTGGCGAGATGGCACGGCGGCAGGACTTGCCGTGAGCCGCTTGATTGATGGCTCTGATTACGCTAGTGCCCAGCTGCTGGAGGCGCCCACGGTATGCGCCTCGCCATCATGGTCCACACGCTGGCGGTCCACTCACGGTGGCTTTCAATATCTGGCAACGGCGGAGAAATAAGAGGCAATAGTGGCCAAACATATACGATATGGTTCAGAGGGTCAATACCAAGGATAAAACTTATCACAATTGGCCAACACGTCGCAATACCTAAGCCCCTGGCTCCAAACTGCGACGATACACGCAAAGCCACAAGTTGCAAATCTAGGATCAACGCGCTCGCCTCGTCAAATTCCGCACGGCGCCTCTGCTCTGCTAAGTGCCGTAACTGTGTCGCAAGCTGGGTTGTAGTATGATCCCACTGCTGCAGAGCAAGTGTGGTCTCGTGGTACACTTGTGGACGCCAACTCTCCAATATCGCGAGAAGCAAATCGCGTTGACCATTACGCAACAGCTCCCTGCGCAGCGGCAATCCTGGCCCAGGATCTGCGGTAGATCGCGGTGCTGCTGGAGGCAAACTAGGCAGTGAGATGCCGTCAGAATTTTCTGTTGTGAGATTCCCCCAGTCACGAGCAGACGCGAGGCAACGTTGGCATCGCCATGCGCAGTTCAAGGATGACACCCCTGTGGCAAAATCTGCCGACTTCTTGGGATCCATCGGCGTGTGAGATGCTTCCCCCTCCCCAGAACCCCTCCCCTGGGAGCCTGGTCCAGTTGACTTGGAAGGGGGGTCCATCGGGGACCGCCCGAGCGCATCACGGGGGTACAGAGGGCCCAAAAACATGCCAAGAGGGCCCCAAGAGGCCCTCCGGACGGTCCGAGAGAGCCACGAGCCGACGACAGATAGATCCAAAACGCTCACGCTGGCCTCCAGACGGTCCAAGAGGCCCCCAAGACGCCACAAGAAGCCCCCAAGAGGCGTCTCAAGACGGCCTCAAAGAGGAAACATCGCCCCATTTTCTTCAACAACATGTATTGTTCGCCTTTTGTGCATTGACACTGTCCAAGACGGCCCAAGAAACCTTCTAGATCGCCACAAAACGTCCCAACAGGCCCCCAAGAGGGCTCCCAGACGACCTCAGAGGGCCCCAAGACCGCTCAAGAAACCTACAAAACGACCTAGGGGAGCCCCAGGACAGCGCCAAGAGGGGGCCCAGAGGGGGAACCCGAACGGACATTTCGAACCTTCGACCCTAAAGCGCCCACCAGCTGCCACACAAAGGCCCGAACAGGCCCCCAGAGAGCTCCAAAAGGCCCCACAAAAAAACCCAGGAGGCCCCCAGAAGGCCCCCAAGAGGTTCAAAAACTGCCTCCCAAACGCCCCCGGGACGCCTCCCACGAGACCCCATCTGCCATCCGAGTGGCCTCAGACCCGTAGCCCAGGCACTGTGCCGGGATGTTCCGAAGGCCTTTCGGTAATCATTCTTCTGGTATTGTGACATCTGCCCGCAGACTCTAAACGTGGGTTTTCGCTGGTTCCCACATGCGTGCACGGCGAACGCTCAAAATGTCAGCCGCAGACATTACTATTGGCGGAGCGGGCGGTGCCGCGATTGCCAGAGGTCCCGGGGGAATCCTTCGCGAGCACACGGTGGACTGTCCGAAGGGCCCAACACGCCCCACATCTCGCCCCAAGACGCCGACGACGGCTCCAAAACGTGTTTTGACAGATGCCCACCGTCTGTCAAGGTGGGTTCTCGCCCGCTTCCCCATGCGGGCGCTGACCCTCGAGAGGTCCGCCTCGGCAGCGTTGTAGACGGCCTCGCCAATCCATTCCCGCATCTCTGCACACCCTCTTCCACCCCAGGGGCCCCGACACGGCCCGCATCTCGCTCCAAGACGCCCACGACGGTTCGAAAACGTGTTTTGACAGATGCCCGCCGGCTGTCAAGGTGGGTCCTCGCCCGTTTCCACATGCGTGCACAGCGAACACTGGGAATCACAGCCGCAGAAACCACTGTTGACTGTGCGCACGGTGCCGCGATTGTCGGGTGGCCCCCGGGGAATCATTCGCGAGCACGCGATAGATTGTCCAAGGGGGCCCCGACACGCCTCACATGTCGCTGCAAGACGTTCCCGAAGGCTCCAAAACTTACTTTGACAGCTGCCCACCATCTGTAAAGGTGGGTTCTCGCACGTTTCCCCATGCGTGCACGGCAGACACTGAGAATGGTAATGCCAGCCGCAGAACTCACTGCTATCAGACGCTTCTTTGAGCCCAGGGCGTTCCCACGACCGCGCCACGACGGTCCCAGCGTGCCACCACAAAGGCGCCCAAGAGGCCCTCAGGAGCAACATGCCACTACCGCCGGTCACCCAAGGAGTCGGCGGTGTGGCGTAAACCCAAGAATCTATTGAGGGTTCCATGGTTTCACGCGGGATTCCTGTCTGGCTTCTCGCTTCTTCGATGCCCACGTGGCGAACTTCGCCTTGGGATTGAACACACACTTTTACTGTTCTGGAGTTCCCGCTGTAAGGAACGAGCGTCGCATCCAACGAGCAACCATTAGGATGTTGGAAGGTGGCCAAAATAGATCTGAAACCACCGTCGGTCGCAGATGACAACATATCATCCAACTTTGCGCGATCATCCGGAATTAGAAAACTCCGAAGTTGTTGACCTACCACACACTCGACCGCGACAATATGGTGAAATCGAGGGCAAGCTGTAACTATAAACCCGCGTGGGAGCTCCACTGTAGCAGTTCCATAACTGCTTTCGATAATCCGCTCCATATCTGCTTGCAATGAAAACACATAAAGAGTACACGCCGATATGCAAACGAACAGTCCAATCGAACTAATGCATGACAACATGCAACTGCAGGCGGCCACCACGAAGGAACTCAACCCCATGGGCACGGCGACCAAATGGAAAACGATAATACCTGACAGACAAACCTCCACATGAACGCCAGCCAGAACCCAGATGATCGGCTCAACCAGCATCACAACAAAACACTCTTCTGCTTTTGTTGTACGCTCGTCGCCACTAAACTCCAACCAAAACAAACACAACGTTACCCCTACCGCCACAATGACGACATCCAGCCACCACGACTGCGGGGGAACCAACAACTGCGTCACTATACAGATCATGATATAAACAATGTTAACAATGAAAGCCAGTAAACTAGACAAACTATCAGGTACAGTCCAGAAAAAATATGCCAATGCAACGATATTGCAGAGCCAAGCGCGCCGGCTGAGAGGTGAAGACTGAAACGCAAGATCGTGTGTCCTCGTCGTAAGCGCTAGCAAGCCGCACACAAGATTGACGCCAGGAATGCCAGAACGGCTGGGGGGAGGCGACGCGTCGGCTTCGAGCAACGCCCGCCGCATCACGACTCGTAAGCGATACTGCGAAACCTGAGATGTAGCCAAAGATTGACCTGAGCCTGAGCCACAGGGTACGGAACTTTGCGGCGGTCGCCGCGCGTCTCTCGGTGGTCCTGCCTCGGACGCTTCGCGGTCGCGGGCGCACAACGAGCCGCGAACTGGCATCTTCAGTTGGCCGCCAACTGAAAGTGCACGTCCCAATTATGGAGGGTGCGCCGCTGGATAACCCCAACGGGGGGGGGGTTTGGGACCCGAAATGGAACGAATTACAACCGACTAGTCCCAATTCCAACCAGAAATGAAACCAATTACAACCATGGATGGGATCTTCGAAATTCCTCCGGATTCCTTCGGATTCTTCGGAATTCCTTTAAATTCCTTCGGATTCTTCGGAATTCCTTTAAATTCCTTCGGATTCTTCGGAATTCCTCAGGAATCCTTCGGATTCTTCGGGATTCCTAAGGATTCGTTCGGATTCTTCGGGATTCCTCAGGATTCCTTCGGATTCTTCGGATTGAATTTTTGCGTGCCGCCACCGCCAACTTTATTCAGAGATGCCTCTCGGCACGCTCCGCCCCCTCGTGGCTGGTTGGCAGTTGGTTGGTGGCCTGGTTGGCTGGCTGGCTGGATCTGTGGCTGGTTGGCTGCTTGGTT